AATCATCAGTCATCCTAGCACTTGAACATCTAACATCTTGTAACCTTTATAAAGCACCTTATATCACGTACGAGCTTATATCTCCATCCACTTGTAGTAAAACTTAGCGAAACCTGTTTAGTTGGATAAACATGCCCGGTGGAGATTTATATGTGCATATTTTATTCTCTCCCATATCTTGCATTGCAGTCCACATATTCTTTTTTATTGATTATAGCTTCTGACTAAGCGAAAAAATGATGTTGTTGGAAATATTCATTGCACAAATGAATTTGATTTTGGTTTTTGATTTAGCAATCCTAGCACAGTAATATATGAAATTATCTTGTTGAAAACAGAAATACCTCCCTTCAATATGCACAATGTATTATTTTTTAAGTTTATTTTTTATGTTGATCTTGCTGTTTGTGTACCCGTTCATGTATATTTGAAGTTTATTTGTATAAAAAGATGTCTTTTGTCAATATGCATAATGTATTAGGTAATTTGTTTGTTTATTTTTCTTACAAATATGGTATAAAATAGACTTGTTATATGTGTCAGTGTACCAATTGGCTCGAACTGCAAGTTAAAGTTTGTATGATAAGGATTTCTTGGTGTTGCATGTTTTAATCACGAGAAGTCTAGAAAAGTAAATAAATTTTGGAAAAATATGGTCTTATTTGTTTAATAATTAGGATTGTGACGCCTTGTGACTCCTTTACTGATGCTTTTGCAGAACATTTTATTTTTAAGGAGCCCATTGATGTTGATACCTTTGACATTGATATTGAGCGGCTAAGGTTTTCATACTTGTTGTTCAAACATGGAAGAATGAAGCAGCCAATATAGTCCGAGAGTGACGATAAATCCCTGGGTCCAGTGCCGACAAATTATCGGAATACTTTATTAGTTCCGTCCACTTAAGTAGCATCTGGATTGTGCATTAGGTTTAATGATATGTGTTAGCATGGATTTTCAGAACTTTCAAAATGTTTTTATTCCTCTTAGTGCTATTTGGTTTAATTTATGGGACAGTGTGGACAAACTAAACTGTGGTTGTTTTTTTAGATATGATGTGGATGGAAAACTTCGAGTATTTCTGATGTTTATCTATGACTGCCAGGTTTCTTTTTTGTTATTTTTTGCATGGTATATTTTATGTATTTTCTTTGGGTAAATGGCGATATCTCAATTGTTTTTTTCTTCTTCTTTTAGAAGTCTGGTGACATGAAGTTTTACACTTCTTTAACTGTTGTGGTTACTCTTAGTATTGTCTGGTTTATTTCGTGGAATATTGATGATAAACAAATCGGTTCTTTATTTTTTTTATGGAATATTTGTAGTATTTTTAATGTTTATATATGACTATCGAGTTCTCTTTTTGCTAGGTTTTTTTATAGTATATTTTTTGGTATTTTTGTTGGTTATGTATGCATAGCCTGAATTTTCCAAGTTTTTTTATGGTATAATTTTTGGTATTTTATTGGTTGTGTATGTATAGCCTGAATTAGATATTTTTTCATGTCTTATTACTTAATTAGATATTAGATATTCTTTCTGTAGTTTAAATTTCATACTATTTTTGTATTCTTTCAGTAATTGTTAGGTTTATTTTATGACTTGTTCATTTTTTTTTTATTTTTTCAGCGAACTTTATAAATAAATATTAGAAACACAATACTTAATCATGAGATACACTTTTTTTAATTAATAGCTTTTTTACTAACAAATAATTACAATTGCCCAAACATATAATAGCAGTTGTGGGTAAATATAATCATGAGTTGTTAGTGGCAAACATATTAGAAAATAATTTATGAAATGAAACATCAATTACTTTAAAAGGTCTGAAAAATTAGGTGACCAACAAAATAGCAAATTGAAAATACTTGAAATAAAAAAAAAAAAAAAACATCAATTAAGCTTTGATCACGGAAAATAATATAGCGGAATGCTGTGATGTTTGTTTCCATATTTATGCAGTGCGTGTTGTTTCGTAGAAGAAGTTTATGCATTGCACAATTGTGTGATAAAAGTTTCTATATCGTAATTAAGGTACTGGTGTAAGTTAAGGAGATACCTGTGTCTTTTAGCCTTTTAGTTTTAGCTTTTGATTGGATGGAGTTCCCAACTAGCCAGGTTCAGCTTCAGAAGGCGTTGCTGGAGATGCATGGACCTTGGCTGTGTTTGGATAACAGCGTTTTGAACAAAAATTAGCTGTTTGCACATTTTATCTTATTTGACTTTTAGGATCCGCTAAAAGTGGTGTTTGGTTAGTAGCTTTTCTTTGCAACTTTTTTGCTCAAAAAGCTAAAATTCTAAACGCTATATATTTGAGTGTTTTTAGCTTTTCAATTTTTTTTGGTACAAATGAATACTTGTGGGCAAAATTGCCCCTAATTTAATGGAAAAATGTTGAAAAGAGATGCAGGGTCTTCTCTTCCAAAATGCATACCGAATTCAGGTGTGGCATGGACACATCCTTCACTTGCCACTTGCCTTAGGAAATATTTATGGGCAATTTGATGGCAAATTACATTTCAGCAAAATTACAAATAATTAATTGTGTGCTATTTAATGGCAAAATGACCCCTTATTTAAATTGCAAAATTTGCAATTTAAAAACAATTTGGATTTATATTCCAACATCAATTCCCAAATTGCGTTAAAATAAAATTGAAATTAATTTGGTATCCGAAAAAAAATTCAACTGTATGGTATAAGAACGAGTAAAATGTGTTGTCGAAAGAAAACAAGTGAAACCCAACTATTTTCATAGTAGAACGGACGCCAACAAATATAGGTCGAACAAGATAAAAGTAAAGTATTTTATTTTTAATTAAAATTAATTTAGTTTCCAAAAAATAAANGTAAAAGATTGAGGTAGATGTGTTTTCGAAAAAAAAAATACAAGTGAAACCGAGCTATTTTCAATATGGAATGTCACCAAAAAATATTCTCTAAACAAGATATAAGCAAAAGTATGTTGTTTCGATAAAAATAAAACTTGAACTAATTTGTAACAATGAGATGCAAAATTCACAAAAACATTTCAGTTTGCACAATCACATAATCACATTTCAAGAAGAAAGAGCCAGAATAACATTTGTCTCATTTTCCCTTTAAACATTCGTGCTTGTACTTTTAACAAATAAAAATTTCTCCATCTTCTATTTAGTTTTTACATTAATTATTGTACATATGAAAGCGCAATTTAAAAATATTTGATATCATATTTAATTTTTGTTAATATTAAAATAATACATAAATATTAGTGTTTTACTTTGTAAATATCTACAAAAAATATATTTCAAGTATGTTGATATCCTTATAAGTAATTTTACATGTCAACAACTATATAAAATAGCTAATTTTACCAAACATATTTTTACAAACCGCTAACACAATCAGCTGGCCAAAACAGCTAATGCTATCAACTGGTCAAAGCAGCTAATACAATCTGCTAACAGCTAACAGCTAACCGCTGATTACCAAACAGTTTATTCCAGTAGTTTGTGTTGATTGTCTACGGTGCTCTCTCAACATACCTCCAGAGCCCGCCTTCTTGGTGGATCCATTAGGCTAGTTAGCCCCCCGAGTCACTCATTATAAATTCACCTTTTGAGGTATAAAATCTATCATTTCGATAAAAAAACAAATAACAAAAAAAACTTCTTTACACATTCACAATTCGTAACCAAACATGTTCGAGACAACTAGGAATTGATGAGTTAAGAAATCCACTCTTTTTTCCTTTCTTGTGGAAGTGCTTTCAATAACTTAAACTCCTCGGGATTACCATTCATTAACTGTGTCTTGTGCAGTTGTATTTCCTAATTAAAAATCGCTGAAGAACTGCATGCCACGTCAACTTTAATTAAGAAAACATGTAGATATGAAGATAAGTTTATGTTACCGTATACTTAAAAATAATCATAAAAAAAATAGTAAGTGTAGTAATTTATCAACGTTTTTTTAACTCATTACCTGTCCCTTCAAACCTCTATCTTTTACATATATGATATGCTCCAAAAGTAAGGGTGTGATTGGATATGGATTTAATTTGGTTTTGATTGGTTTTTTTGTTAATTATAGTTAATTATAAAAAAGTTGCATGGTTAGTTCTTAGTAGGATTTTGAGTTTATATTAAATTAATATTTAAAATAAAATAATTAAAATTGATTTGATGTAAAAGTAGAAGAAAATAATGTCAAGTGATCGTTAATTAAAATTATATATGAGTTGATAAATAGTGAATTAAACTTGATATAATGTGTAAAAATGATTGATTGATATTATTTAATTTTATTGATAATATTGAAGATATTGAATTGGGTTAAAATGGAGTTAAAAAAATGATTAAGTTAAAAATGATTGATTTTAAAATTAAAAACAGAAAAGAAAAATAGATTCATGGATATGTAATATATTCAAATTCCTAAAGCAACCTGTTTGAAGGAAAGAGCACTTCTATCCGAAAAAAACAAGAGCATTTCTTATGCAATGACTGCAACTTCATTTGTTTGTTCTAGAGGATTAGTTTAGTTATAAATCTAAAGCTTCAAATTAAAAACGAAAGAGCATTTCTTAAAACAGATATGCAATGACTGCAACGACTTCATTTTTTTGTTCTGCAGGATTAGTTATAAATTTAAGCTTCAAATCTTTTCTCATCCGACTGCAGGCTTCCGAAACAGGGAGGAAAAGAAACCTAAGGAGATGTTTGGATACATTTTTTTTAAAAAAAAAAATCCAATCATTTTTTTTTTTAACTCAAATCTAACTAAACTTTATTTCAACTCCATTATTCTCAATATTATCAATATAATTACAAAATACCACTCAATCATTCTTACACATTACGTCACTATTCATCCACTCACATAATTTTAACTAATCATCACTTCACATATCTCTCTCATACTTTGACTTCAAATGAAATTTAATAATTTTATTTTGAATATTATTTTAATATAAACTCATAATCTCATTAACAACTAACCATATCACTTTTTTCCAAAATTAATCATATCAAACCGAATGATTATAAGGTTTTTCGTTGCTACCCAAAATATCCAAATCTGCAAATTCAAATTACAAATGCTCTGCAAAAGAACACAACGGAGAAGACAATGTGATCGAAAAATTCCAAGAAACTAAACCATAGGGACTCAAGTGCAAAAAGACCAAAATATTAATTCACCATAATCAGAAAGCATGAGCAAATTACAGTAGAGGTCATAAGTTTAGGCTGCAGCAGCTATTAGGAAGTGTACAACTCACCTTCACCACTATTACAAGAAAAATACACTGGGCCAACTCTGAGACACATTACTGATTAAGTAATTTAGAATCGCAAGCGACAATCTTGACAGACTCAACAGTCTCTTGGCCTTCCTCGCTTTTGAGCTGGGCATTTTGTAAGATGAAGGTCCAAACATTGTCACAAAATCGATAGGTGTGAAGATGACCCTGCAGTAAAAAGACAAATATAACAGATGGTTCCCACCTCAAAGCATTACCGAGTGTGCAATGAAAAGATCAATAGGAGTCAAATGTAGATAAAATCCCAAACAAAGACGAATGCTTTTCTTACGGGCCACTAGACAAGAAATAGAAAAAATTGGACGTAAAGGAAAGGCATGTTAAATAACCATTCTACCTCATCAAAGAACAACTACCAAAACAGAATATNGGAGTATTTTCAATTGAATATCTTCCATTTTCAATTGAATACCATTCTACCTCATCAAAGAACAACTTCCAATTGAATATCCAAAAAAAAAGAAGTTCACGGATTTTCATGAATACATAGAAAGTTAAAACACCTTACACAAGAGTCAAGACCAAGTGTCCTCAAGAAAAAAAAAACTTAAAATTCAGATTATATTTCATTTGGAGTATAACATTGTCAAGGTAGAGAGAAGTAAAAGGTTACTGTAGTCAGAGGCAAGTGACATAACATATTGGACGAATAGATCAACATCTTGTTTTACATATATCTCGTAAAGAAATCATGTTAGTTCGATCATTCAATGTTCAGAAGTGGTGAAATAAAACATGCAAAAGATTTCAAATTCCATGTAATCTACTTAGATATGAAAAAATTACATCTTATTGATGTAATGACACAATGTCATTAAATATTGGGATACAAATAACATATATCATTTACCAATTTTATGAACGTGCGACTACGGGTAACTGCAGTGAAATAAAATAAGCAGATGATTAAAATTTCATCTGACTCACTTGACATCGAAAAGATTATGGTATGCACTGACGATGTTATTTAATATATGGATACATTGATCGTGCGTGATTTACATATTTTATCAGCAGAATGTGATCATGTATCTTACCAAAAACAAATTATTACAAATTATCTCAACTATAAATTCCTCAATCTTCACATGGGTCATGATTCAGTAGCATAATTATGTAAGTACAAACAAGCCTAAAAACTCGGGAAAGGGAAATGATGATGGTGGCAGTGACAATACTTAAAAAAATATTAATAACTAATAGTTAACTGAAACAATATATTGACTTCCAGGTTCAGCTTCAAACAACAAAGTTCATGATAGCATGAACCAGGATATATAAATGTTGTCATGCATAAGCAAAGCGGAAATAAAATCCAACACTTCCCTTCCCCATAAACCTGACTTCAATTACTCAGAAAAATTCAACTATATCCTTTGCCATAAAATAAAAGGTCATTTACCTTGATTGACACTTTGCTCTTCACCTCACTTTCTAGAGCTTCAGTCATTGACTGCAAACGAGGGAGGCGACATTAAGGATAATTTCAGTTGAAACATTCATTTAATTTAACTAACGGATAAAAGCCAGAACAGAATCAAGGAAGTCAAGTTCAAGTAAAACTCTCAACATCAATTTTCAGCCTGTCATTACAAATTTATCATTGGAAAAGGTTTGACTATCGGGTGCAGCCCAAATTGCCTGCGCTTCTATTAATTCCAGATCTATATAAACTGAAATATATATCCCATTCAGCCCATCGACATTACACTGAGTCCAAGTGAAAAAAAAAAAAATGAAAAGATGTAGCATGTGTGACCAAAACTCATTTGGAGAGATATCGGCAATCTATGTATGCATTTCATCCCACAATTTTCACGACTCTTTCACATTTAAAAGACTAAAGTAAAATGAATCAGTAAAGTTTTAGAAATGAAATATCTAGAGGACTGGGTTTATTTAAAAAATAACACCTTTCCTCAGATCTTGGAAATCAAGCATGAGTACCCAAGCTCAATCCCAATCTAGCCTACAACAATCGATACATTTCTTCAACTTTAACTATCATACCACACAATCATTCTACTCTCGTGACAGAAAAAGGGGAGAAAAAGAGTCCACCTTGTCAAATTGAATCAGCACTTGAATGGCGAGCTCGGGCGTAAGAACTCCGCTCGAAACCATTTGATCCAAGGTTTCTGTCAAGCACATCCCAATCGTCGATCTCCTGTAAAGCTCGAAAGTCGCCATTTGGACTGTAACAACAGGACTATCCTACACAATTGTCGGAGACCAACAACGATAAACAAGCAATCTGATACAAAAATCGTTTCTCGATGAAAAAATTACAACAGAAATCGGAAAGGAGAAACATCTGATCATCGAGTAAAACGAAATTACCCGGTGGTTCGATCGGATAGTGCCTGCTGATTGAGAAATTAAGAGGGCGGAGAGGAGTTTTGTGTGCGTGTAGAGAGATGGTGGAGAGAAGAGAGGGAGAGAAATTGGGGTTTATATACCCTAGATTTTATAGATGGGATTATATATAGGCGATTGCTAGAACTGCAAGAAAGCCAAAGGACTACAATACCCTCAGAAGTTTTGCCTTATTACATGGGATTATTACTCGTAAATCGTAATCGTCGATAATGATTAAGGGTTATTTATGGGTGATTGGATATAGTTTTAATTGAATTTATTGGTTAATAGGGTCAATTTTGAATAAAAATAATTGAGGGAGGATTGTGTAAGAATTTTAGGTACCAAAATTTCAAAATTATCCTACAAAGTTCAAAAATTTAAATACGTAGGGAAAAAAATAAATGAACACAATTGAATAAAATTTTAGAGTACAAGTGAGTAACACTTTGTAAACTAAGACAACAAGCCAAAAATCACTATAACCAATCAATCACAACGTTTTCAAACAATTATTAAACACTCCTAATACGTTCAGTGAACGAAGTAAAAAATATCACGAGTTCGAATGAGATGCACTCTTTCAAATCGAACTAACAATAAGTGAAGAACACGATAATTCTAAGAGTATGATAAGAGGGCAATAATAAAGAATACAAGTCCGAGAGATTCTTGTCGACAAAACTCGAATCTTCTCTTGCGTGTTTGGTCTTGAGCGTCCCGCATGCTGCTCCTCTTTTGTGAAAACAAAACGTGTACTTTTTTCCTTCAAAATTATGTTGTTGTTATGCTCCATCAAGACACCCCCACTGTTGCTAGTTTTCTTTAAAAGACAAAAAACAAAAAAGAACGAGTGAAAAAAACAAGATCAACGCTTTTACATTCACCAAGTATGCATGCCATAATAATGCCTAAAAATAAAAAAATAATAAACGTGAATGACAAAGACAAAGTTGGCATGAAAGAAATAACGACTTATTTTAACACTTTTCAGAGATTGAAGGAACCGCATTTCGTCATCCTAGCCTGAATAAATACTTTTATTTTTCTAAACACGAAGGAATAATGATCATGGGGTAGCTTTCACACTAAACCAAATGTAACATTCTTTCTACTTGATCATTTCTCTGTTCAACATATTTTTAATTATAGAAAAATTCGGTCATAAGGATTAGCTACACTCTTATGGGGTAGGCAATTATTTCCCTTCAAATCCAACCTGCAATTTTTCTTTTTTCTTTTTTTACTCGTTAGGGGCTAAAAATATAAAGTAACGACACACAATCCATTTATCAAGTGAAAAAATGCACCATCACAACTTTATGCCTCCAACAAATATATCGTTTATGCAACAATAATGCAATTATGAATGAAAAAAAAAATGCATGTATGCAAAAACTTGTGTTACAACAATGGTGCAACATGAATGTTGTAACACAATTCTTATTCTAATTCAAACAATATAAAAACCGATAGATTTTCTTAAACTAGAAAACCTCTCATAATCATTAGCCTTGGTGAATATATCCGGTAATTGATTCTTAGCCTCTGTGCACTCAATGCAACTTATGTTTTTTTCAACTAGATCCCAAATTAAGTGATGTCGTATATCTATGTATTTTGTGCGAGAATGTAGGAACAAAATTTTTATAATATAAATTGTACTTTTGTTATCACAATATACAGTTAGTATATCACTATTGAGACCATAATCCCCAATCATTTGATTCATCCGTAAAAGTTGACAAACAAGAGAATTTTTATTTTATATCATGCAAAGACATCATATCATTAACAAGAATGCTCTCATAAAAAATTTCATCAACACTACTAACACTACCACACAACTTTCTTACCATGAGATAAAACAATCTACCATTCGTTACCTCACCAACGAATTGCGACATGGGATGATATCTCCGAACAACTCTTCCACAATCTGTAACATCCACATCATATCGTGTCTCAGCCTCAGAAATAATATTAGGCTCGTCACCACTTCCGCATACTGGTCTGGCTCTCTATCTTCATCAGAGGTCAACTCTAGGCGATCTTTCTTGCGGGAGTACACATGCTTGACGAAATCCAGATCCTGACCTCTCTCTATGGTCTTCAACACCCAACGGATGGCTCCTGCCCATTTTGCTTCGACCAAATTGGCAGCCTTGATGACCTCAGACCCCTCTCCCATCTCTTTGCCGACCTTTATTCCCTTTTCTTCACCCATCTTGAAGCCTTTGGCGTAGCCTATCTCCTTCTCTTCTAGCTGGCTAGCCTCTCTTCTGTGCTCCAGGCTGATCGCGAAGCCTTCATCAAACTTCTTGGCCCCTTATTGGTAATCTTCTTCACCTCGACATTTCCCTACTCGATCTCCTAGCGAGCAATGCTCAGTATCTCGTTTCGCCGATGCACCTGTAATGTGTGGTTCTTCTTCAGTATCTCCATCTCTTGCTTCATTGCCTCGAGGTGATGCTCATGTCGATCCCCGATGTCCTCCAGATCTGACTTTTGACGATCCCTTTCTAGCGTGAGCACCGCAGACTCCTCATAAGTCCTTTTATACAAATCGTTCACAATGGATCTGCCAAAAATTGCTGGCGAACCTCACAACGGCCATGCACCTCCTTGAGCTTCTTCAACTTATCGAGGGTTCTATGTGACATGTTAACTCCTTGCATCATCGAGCCCTTAGCCACTGGCATATGAGTCACGGCGCACTTCACTATCTCAAATGTCGGCATCAATGACACTTGTTCCTGCAACTCTCTGGTCCACACTATCATAGGGAGAGGTGTGTTGCATCCACCACATCCCTAGGAACCTAATGAGGATTAGGGATCTGCGGGACCTCAGACCTAATAAAGTTCCAGTACCTGTCTGGTTTCCTATCCTTGAAAGCACTTGCTAGCTCTTCGCTCATCGGATCGCGTGGAAGATAACCCCCAGACGGCGCATGATAAGTCGATCCCTCATCCTTACCTCGTGAAGGTGGCTCAAACTGCTGATCTTCTGCCTGATCGGTCTCATCCCTCGGTGTCTGCCTACCAAATAAACCCTAGTGGACTGTCATCAGTTTCTAGTGATCGTCCTCTTGATGGCCCTCACCGTTCCCCCCCTCTCTATCGAGTTGAGTCGGGCGATCGCTCTCCAATCTTGTCTGCACGTCCTTCATAATCGTATCTATTGCCGGCTCCGGTTTCGCCACTACACGGTAGACACCAGTTTCTATATCCATCATCTCAAGGGGCGCGGTAGGATGATCGAGATCAGAAGATTCCTCCCTCCGATGCTTTTGCTCGTCTGTCGATTTGCCGGACGGATAAGATGATCGACGCTTCAAGCCATTCCTTCTCAAGATCATTCCTTGTGGCAATCCCACTATCGTCTCATCACGTTCTGAAGATCCCTCAAAAACTAAAGTCGTCCCCTTGCTCGATGACCTTTTGCTTTTTCTTTCTTCTTTTCTTCAATTCTTTCTTCAGTTTCTCGATCCTCTTTGTGGATCTCACCCGTGTAGCAAAATTCTCTTCCACCATACCCCGTCAATGGCTAAAACACTACAAACCAACCCGGATATTTACAAAAAAAGCGAAAAGCTTATTATCAAAATACTCAACAAAACTCTCTAAAAGTTACCTAGCTCGACCAACGTATAGTCAAAACTCGGGGTGCAAATTTGATGTAGCCAACTCCTTGCTCTAGCACAATGTTCGAAAACTCCTCTCAGGGACAGTCAAACCAAATATTCCCTCTAATTTCTCATCGAAATCCGCGTCCATGGGAGGAGTAGTCTTCTTTGCTACATCGAAAGACGAAAGAATGAAATCGAGGGAACAAAAAAAGCTTCCACGATGAATTAAAAAGGACTTACACATTTTTCACTAAAATGGGTCGACACATATGTAAACCGACCTGACGACCGACGAGTTCTCCGCTCTCCAACCACCCAAAACCAGTCCTGCTTCCAACCATGCCAAGACTCAGGAACATCCTTCACCAAGTTGGCGTACTTCTGGTCACATGGTGCCAAATGGAAGTAGCTAGACCCGTCTTTTGACGTTTTCCACATAAATACAGAATCCAGTTCTTCTGCGGTCGGAGCCAGCCACCCCTTGTCTACGAACATGACAACCAAGGAACACAAACAGTACATCTTGTTCGGATGCACTTGGCTAGTGTTGATCTCCCATTTCCCCAAATATTGATTATTGGAGGAAGTGGAAATCTCAGTCCAGAAACTATAGACTCGGGATGCATGGTGACGCTCCCCTTCGAAGGACAGTGGCCCCACTCCACTTCGTACGGAAAGAAAATCTTCACCAGCCCTAGTATTTCTTATTTTCCCTGCAACTTTATCAGATCACTATCCCACAGAGTGCTCACAAGCCTACAATTTTCCATATCCTCCTGCTCGGCTCCTGCATCGGCGGACGACACCAACAACCCTCTGGCGTCGTAATTCAGCTTTCATGATCTCCCTCAGGGGTTGCCTCCATCTCATGATCACTCATGTCCAACATATTTGGTTTGAAGAAAGCTGAAAAGATAGAAAAGAAGGACTCCCAATATTTTTCAAAAATTTCTAAAAAGTAAGTGCGGATAACTGAGGAGGAACCCTATATTCATTACAAACATTTCCAGTTCGGCAATCGTTGTACGTCGTCACATTCAAGGCACGAAGTCCGAGGGACACGACCGAAAAGACATGCACTAAAATCCGATAACTTGCACTCCTTCATGCCTTAAACCAAAGAGGCGTCTTCTCAAAAGTTATTGTTGCCTGATCGACAATATTGCAAGTTCATAGCTTCCCACGCGCCCTAACGATCCCTCTAAACCTGAGAACCTGGGGGCCTTTATGTTATACTTAGAAATATCCGAACACAAAGCTCCCCAAAAGATGCAGCCCAATTACAGAGTATGGCCCAAGCTAAAGCAGGCGACCCATAAGACATGCAGACCACCTCACGAGCAGCCCAAGAGCACGAGGTTAGGTTTGTCGATCCCCTGATAGGCCAAAATCGATCGCCCTCTGAGTCTTCTCGAGGAAGATTGACGATGACCCCTTGTCTGAACACCGAACCGGTAAAGTTGATGGCACTGCCCAATCCGTCTCATCCTCAAAAGAAGAGATTGCATGAATACACGCGGCACCACCCTCCGCCTCTAACTGACACAAGGCATATAATGCCTTTTTTGCCTTTTTCGTGTATATATAACAACCCCTCCGAATCCTAAAACACAATCAAGCACACAACTATACATAGAGTTTCTTCCTCATATAGTTGTAATGCTTCCCTATACAGTTTCTTAAAAAAAATTCGAAGAACCATCTCCTTGCCGATCGGCAACATCAGTGTGTCGTGCATATTTATTTTTCTAAATATGTTCATACCTTCCTGAGATTTATTACGATTAATAACACCATAGTATACTATAACCCCTGATTAAATCGCCTAATTTATATCTATAATAAACGTTAGTGGTCGGTCGTCAACGACCCTCATGGACCTAGAGTAAGTACTTCTTTTATTTAACTTTATTCTATTTTCGTGTAACAATCTTATCAATCATTTATTTAAACAATTGTTTAGGAGGAACAAGATTGATTGCATACTTTGGAGGGATTACGTTAACTGACTTTTAAAAATTGAAAGTGAATATGAAAATGAACGTCAAACACCAATGTTGATTTTTCATCTTTGATGAAATAAGTCATGGAGAGATATTTTTATTAAT